AGAGCCTCTGCTTGGCATGCAGAAGGTCCCAGGGTCAATCCCTGACATCTCCAGTTGAAACTACCTGGCAGGAGGTGATGGGAAAGACTTCTGCCTGAGACCCTGGAGAGCCATGAAGTGGGGCTGTGGCTCAGTGGAAGAGCCTCTGCTTGGCATGCAGAAGGGCCCAGGTTCAATCCTCGGCATCTCCAGTTAAAAATACCAGGCAGTAGCTCTGCCAGAATTTTGTATGCTAAATATTGGAGAAAAGAAGAAACACCTTCAAAAGAAGAAATAATCTACAAGCTCTTAGAAACGGCTGAGATGGAATAATTTACGCTGTTATTACAAGGCAAGATTTGAAAAAGCATGGTTAAGACTTTATAAATGGATGGAGTGGTACCTTAAGTGGCAATTGCTATAACCACCAAAAAGTATATATAAAAACGGTAATCGAAATAGATACTTTAATCGCTTTATATACATATATGAAGTAGTGGCGTAGGTGCAAAACTACTGATGTCTAAAAAGATAATTGTAAGCACTAACAGAAGGTACTCCTGGTCATTGTTTGTGTGTTTTGTATGTTTTATGTATTGATATATTGGAAAATAAAAATTAGAAGAGATTGGATTTATACCCCGCCCTTCACTACCCAAAGGTGTCTCAGAGTGGCTTACAAACTCCTTTCCCTTCCCCTCCCCACAACAGACACTCTGTGAGGCAGGTGGGGCTGAGAGAGCTCTTGACAGAAATGGCTCTTTTTCAAGGACAGCTCTTATCAGAACTACGGCTTGCCCAAGATCATCCAGCCAGGTGCAAGTGGAGGAGTGGGGAATCAAACCTGGTTCTCTCAGATTAGAGTCCGCGCACTTAACCACGACACCAAACTGGCGTATCTAAATTAAAAAATTATCTAAATAAATTTTTTAAAAGACCAGGCAGTAGGTGATGTGAAAGACCTCTCTGCCCGAGACCGTGGATAACAGCTGCCAGTCAGAGTAGACAAGACTGACTTACACAGACCGATGGTCCGATTCGGCACAAGGCAGATTCATATGCTCACGTGTAGAAGAAGGAATGCCACTTCTAAGATCGTACCTGCTACACGCCCGGTTTAAAAGGAAATGAAGCATGCTCTTCCCCTTCCTACTCCTGATTTATTCAGATTTATGCAGATGTAATCCATTTCTTGCAACCTTAACTCATGCAGCTTTCTGTAATTGGCCCAGGTGTAATTTATAGAGGTCACCAGGAACAGGTTTTAAAGCGTGATGCCCCAAGAGTGAATACTTGACGCTTCCTTGTGATGGGACTAGCGGGCTGACTCAGTCTTTTGCTGCCTACTCGGATTGGTAGAGGTTCTTTCCCAAGCCCTGCTATCGGAGATGCCGGGAACTGAACCTGGGGCCTTCTGCATGCCGAGCAGAGGCTGTGCCATTGAGCCACAGTCCTTCCTCGGAAAAAGAACATAAGAGGACACCTTTAGATCAAGTCAGACCGATGGCTGATCTAGCTCAGTATTTCCTGCTCTGACCCACAGCCGCTCTCCAGGGCCCAGGCAGAGAAAGATCTTTCCTAAACATCTGCTAACTGAGATCCTTGATCTGACCTTGATCTGGATTGAACCTGGTACCTTCTGCGCTGAGAGCCGGCAGCTCTACGCCCTGAAGCGTCTACTGTGTAAACATGCAGCCAACATGCATTTCTACAGGAACTTATGAGCAATGTTATGGTGGAGGGGGGGGAAATCCATGGGCCTGTTTTGATTGTGTGTGGTCAGGATGTCATGGAAAGAGGTGGCTCGTCTCTGCAACATAGAGCACAATGCTCACACGCACACCGAGGCCTTTGCAAATGCAAGCCTTCCTTCCACACCCCCTCCAATAACAACAACGGGCATTTCCGCAGGGAAAACGGCTTATTATTCCAGCGGGATGCCTTCTTCGCCCCCTGCCGATTTCTCTCCCACCTCTCGATAGGAGGATTCGCCCTCGGTTGTACGTACACCGTTTCACACCAACTATTTATCTGATGCGTGATCGAACCTGCACCAAAAAAACCCAAACAAACGAAGAAAGGAATGGGCAGTGAGACGTTGGCTAAGGCTCATCACTTGACTGGGGCACGCAAGAACACAGCGGAGCCGGAAGGACGTTGCTGGGACAAGAAGACGTGAATCGTGCGCCCTGAAAGAACTACCGCCGAATCATAGGATCCTGCCGAGGACGAGCGGAGTGCCGAGCGCCGAGCCAAAGAAGGAACATTCCAACCACCACCACCACAAGGGTGCTGATAGGTAACCCCACCCCTACAAACTCTGTGGCCCTAGTTAGGGAAAAATTGTGTGACTAGCACCACTTGTAAGCCGCTCTTAGACCCCCTGAGAAAGAGGGATATAAAGTCTAAAGTTAAATAAATAAATAAATAAATAAATAAGAAGCCGAGGTGGCAGGCCAAGGAGACGACAGAGGGCTTATTTGAGGCTGGAACCTCCCTGGGAAGAGGCCCAGCCTCTCTCCCCCGCCCCCCAAACCACACCGCGCCTGGCATGCGCTCTGGGATTGACCTCACAGCCTCAAAATGTTGCTTCGGCCTCCCTGGCCAGAAAAAATGTCTGGCATGCAAAACCTTCTCTCGGGGCAGCTTAAGTGATGAGAGGCTAGGAAGGTGGGCAAAGTGGGGAGGGGCTGGACGCGGCCTGCAGAGGGCGCCAGCTTCCAGTTCAGTCCTAGGTAAGGCTGACCGGTTGGCCTTGTGTTCCAAAAACGCCACCACGGGACAGGATCTCCGGTGTCTCATCGTTCGGACGCCCCGTCGCTTCTGAGCACCTCTGGATTTTTCTAACATTTTTGCCTCTCTGTTTTCAAGTTCCCAGGGAAGCTGGGAAGCGAAAGAGAAAGCTGGTCTCCGTGCCCCCCCATGGAAGAGCCGTTCACGCTGCCTCTCGATGTAGGGCCTGGCGCTCTGAGAGGTGCCAGTTCCGCACTCGCGTCTCTGATGATGGAGCTGACACGCACAGACGCATGGAAACAACACCCAAGATTAGTTCCGGTCCATATTTCCAGGAGCTTGGCCATGTTACAGGCCTCCCTGCCCGGAGGGAAAAGTCAAACTGTTGTGGTGGGGGGGGGGAGGCCCAGAGAAAGACATACAGTCCTGTTATGTTTCACCCCATAGCCTCGAATCCAGTACCGCCACTGTCCCACCGTGCCCCCTTTCAAAACGCAAGCAGACACTCTTCCTCAACAGTCAAGAAAGGATTCCTGTTCTAGACCCAAAACAAAATCCACGTCTCACAGCTCGGCGTTTCCCAACCTGTGGGACACCTGACCAAATGCTCCTTCTAAGCTGTGGACAAAGTAGAATTTTTGCTCACAAGACTCCACAGCTTAGAGGGAACATTGGTTGTGAGTGACTGATTTGGCTACAGCATAAAACAGTTTGCTCTGGAGCCCTCCTCCCTGAGCAGAGACAAAAATGTGTGAGCCGGAGGCTAAAAAGTGGTGAGCTGGCTCACACCAACTCAGCTTAGAGGGAACACTGGTCCTGACCCCCAAATGAGGCCTGTAAAAGGGAGTCCCAGACTTTTGCCGTTTTACTGATTCAGGCGTGCTTCGTTTCCCCCTTTCTTTCAAGTGAGTCTGTCGCCGTAGCAAATAAATTTGCACTTGTGGGACCAAGAACTACCCACTGTTTAAAAGATACCCCTTAAAGTCTTCTTCAATCAAGGTCCCGCTTATGAAGCATTCACTGTCCAATATTTCTGGCCCCTTCCCCACAAGGCCTCGCCCCCCCCCGCTTACCTCCTCTTTTCCTCCCGCCCTCCGTTCCCACAACCCCCAATTTCAATGTTTTTTTTTATCATTAACATTTTATTGGTAGAATTAAAAAGTTTTGAGAAATCATAACTCCCAATTACCTATAACAATAAAAATGTACATAAAGGTCATAAGAAAAGTTTAGAAATAATCCCTTCCCTTTCTGGAGCCTACAAACCGGATTCTAAAGCGAAAGATCTCAAAGTCTGGAGGGGGAAAGGGGGTCGGTGCTCAGACCCACCGCTTTGGAGCCGAGTTCCTTCCAGCACGGGTTCCCAACGCCAGGGGCTCAAGCCTGGAAGACTCAAGAGAGCATGTGCAGAGAGCCTTTCTGCCCTGCGCTCAGAAAGGCGAGGGAGGCGAATCTTTCCCGGATTTATCGCCCCGCCAGTACTGGGATGCAGTGTTCCCTCTAAGCTGAGTTAGTGTGAGCTAGCTCACAGTTTTTTAGCCTCTGGCTCACACATTTCTGTCTTCGCCCAGGAAGGCTGGCCCAAGAGCCAACTAATTTATGCAGTAGCCAGATCACTCGCTCACAACGTTAATGCCAGTAGCTCACAGAGTAGAATTTTTGTTCACAAGACTCCACAGCTTAGAGGGAACATTGCTGGGATGCATTTTTTTTTTGCGCATCTATGCGCATTCGGTTTTGCGCCTTCGGTGCCACTGGAGAGGTCTCGGGGCCGAGCCGGGGGAGTTGGGAACAAGGTTCCCTCTAAGCTGTGGAGTCTTGTGAGCAAGAATTCTACTTTGTGAGCGACTGGCATTAAAGTTGTGAGCGAGCGATTTGGCTCCTGCATACATTAGTCTGCTCTGGAGCCCCATCCTTCCCGAGCTAAGACAAAAATGTGTGAGCCAGAGGCTAAAAAACTGTGAGCTAGCTCACACTCACTCAGCTTAGAGGGAACACAGGTTGGGAAGCCGGCGGCGGGGCCGAGCCGGGGTTCGACACGCAGCCCCGCTGCTCTCCTTCCTCCCTCGAGTCCGGTACCGCCAGTCCGTCCGGCCCACAGCAGGGTTACGGGGCAGAACGCGGACGAGCCGGAGCCCCGGGACCTCTTTGGCGCAGACGCCCGCCGTGGGAACCCTCCCGCCCTCCGAGCGCCTTCCGAACAGGAAGCGCCCCCCCAGTGCGGATTCCCGGGCTCGGCTCGCCTCCATCGGAACGCGCGACGCGGGATCCCGGCGCACGGCGCTCACCTGGGCTGGATCGAACCTTCCGAGGGCCCCGGGACTGCCTTGGGCGGGCGGGCTGGCGGGGTTTCCTGTTGCTTTCGGGGAGGGGTTGGACCGAGGAGGAGGAGGAGGGAGGGGTGGCAGGAAGCCGCTTGCATTTTCCGGATCCCTCCCCGCCGGTCTCCTCCTCCTCCTTCCACTCCCCCCGCAGTCCCTCCCCTCGCCTCTCCGCCGGCCTCCACGCCTGGCTCGCCGTGCATCGGAATGTGGCCGGCTTGCGAGGCGGAGAGGGAGGGATCGGGGCCGCCCAAGCTAGCCCGAGACGGGCGAGAGGGGCGGGAAAGGGTTCTCTCTCTTGCAAGGCGGGAGGGCGTCAGTGTTCCCTCTAAGCTGAGTTAGTGTGAGCCAGCTCACCGTTTTTGAGCCTCCAGCTCACACATTATTGTCTCCGCTCAGGAAGGAGCGCTCCAGAGCAGGCTGATTGATGCAGTAGCCAAATGTCTCGCTCGCAACTTCAATGCCAGCGGCTCCCAAAGTAGAATTTTTGCTCACAAGACTCTGCAGCTTAGAGGGGACATTGGAGGGCGTGCGTTTCGCGCAAGGAGCGTCGGCGTCCTCCGGTGGCGAGGAGTTCCACGGGCGGCGGCGGCGGGGTTTGGGGTCCTCGGCCGCAAGGGCAGAGCCGGAGACTTGTTTTAGTCGTTCGTTCGTTGCGGCGGAAGGGTTCTGTTTCCTAGATTTAAAAAATAAATAAATCAACCTGCGGCGGCTGGCGCCATTTGGGGGCGGTCGTGCGCAGGAGATTCGAACCCGGCACTGTGCTGCACTGCGGAAATGCAGCCGAAGCCGGCGCTTCCTGGTTGTTCAACACAGAGGTGTGGACTGCATCCCAGCAAGCAAATGAGAAGTTTGTCCGTCTCTTAGAGAACAAATTTGAATGGAATCGCTGTGGTCGACTGGCAGGGGCAAAGCCCCCCCAGAAGCACCTGCGGGCATTCTTTGTAGCAGAAGAGTCTCTGGATTTGACCTTTCTTTTTCCCCCCCACTCAGATGCAGCCAAGATAGCGTTGCCAACCTCCAGGTGGCTGGCTGGAGCTCTCCTGGGATTCCATGCAACTGGTCTGTGACAGAGATCACCGGGAGAAAATGGCCACTATTGCGAGGCAGGCTGCATAGCATTCTACCACACTGAAGTCCCTCCCCTCCCCAGCCCCGCCCTCCTCAAGCTCCACCCCCAAAGTCTCCAGGTATTTCCCAAACCAGAGCTGGCAACCCTAAACCACGAGAATCCCAAGTTTGCATGGGAGGGGGGCGTCCTACACAGAATGAAAAGTGTGAACTTTTATGGTGTCCGACAGTTCTGTGCAAAACTGTTTTAGAGGAGAGCCTCTATGGGTATCCTGTATGATTTGGACTGACCCAAAAGTTATTTTAGGACACAAAGAGAGTTGCCATGTATCCTTGAGGACTGGCGATCTCCCAAAATTACAGCTAGTCTTCAGACAAGAGAGATCAGTTCCCGCGGATAGCATAACTTATCTGGGAGGTTGAACTTCGGGGCATTAGACCCCACTGAGGTTCGTTTCGGTTCCCCAACTCTGTCCTCCCTAGGCGTACCCCCTAAATCTCCAGGAATTTCCCAACCTAGATTTGGCATCCCTCAAAACAAACGCAAAACTCTGTTCAAACTCCCGTCCTTTCCACAAAACCCTTAAGCCCGTCTTCTAGAACGTAAGTGAATGGATATTATTTGCCCCATTCTGCCTCCATTCATTCACTCCCTAAGGGCAAAGTTTCCATTGTAAGCTCCTTGGGGCAGGGCCTAGGCGTTCTGTACCTGGGAAGTGCTATAAATGTTTACTGTGCTGTATAAATCTATATATCTAATAGCGAAGGCGCCCCCTACATGAGGATATCTAAATCCGCACATTGGGGGCACCTGGGGGGCAGGGAAATTTTCCTGCACACTTGGGGCAGTCCCCAGGAACAAAAATCTAAAAAGTTGAAAAAATATAGGGGGGATATTTAAATCCCCCCAAAAGTAAAAGAGTGTTTCCTGCGCATGCACAGGGAACGCTCTGGTAACTCTGCAGTGGGCTGGGGGTTGGAAGCCTCTCAGGCCTCGCCGCTGAAGCTGAGGCGAGGGGGGGGAGAGGAGGAGGAGATCGGCCGCTGGAGGGGGGAGGAGAAGACCGGCGGGGGGGGAAGAAAGCGAGACATTGCAAGTAGATAAACAGGTACCGCTTCGGTGGGAAGGTGACAGCGTTCCGTGCGCCTCGGTGTCTAGTCATGCCGGCCACATGCCCACGTAAATGTCTTTGGACAGCGCTGGCTCTTCGGCTTTGAAACGGAGATGAGCACCGCACCCCTAGAATCGGACTCGACTGGCTTTCGAGCAAGGGAACCTTTACCTTTACCTTTTTATAAATAAGAATATAAGAATCAGTGCTTTATTGATATACGCTACCTGGGGGTATTGCACACCAAAGCGCATTCAGCTAAAATGGACCTGTGAGCCACAGACGATGTTGGGGCTTTTTGCAGGGGCACACCGAATGAGGTCCCCAACGTGGCGCCCACGGGCACCCGTCAAGTGTTTTTAGAAAGTGGATGGAGCCAGGTGGACCTTTGCCCTGCCAGGCTCCTGATTGGCCCCTGGAAATCTGATTGGTAGTGCAGACTTTTTTAAAAGGTTGCTCCGGCAGGCTGCCCCCATCACAGCCCAAGAATCTTCACTGTGTGACCAAAGGTAAAGCGTGGCAGCCATTTTGTAGTTGGCTCCGCCTCCTCTGGCAGCCATTCTGTGGCAGCGCATGCCACACCGTTTCAGAATTCCAAATGCGCCCGCAGGCTCAGAAAGGTTGGGGACCCCCCCACACCCCACCCCCGCACTGAAAGATTTGACGTGGCCTAAAGCTGGTTAGGAGAGCAGGCTTTAGTTCCTTTCGTGGGCTGCTTTTGTACCTCTGTTGAATGCTGTAGAAGTACAGTATTTCTAGACCCTTAGTCAGTTGGAAACTGATCACAGGATGGTTTAAAGCGGAAATATTGAAATGACAAAACTCTGTACAAAACAGAGGAAAACATTACCATTCAGAACTAGAGCTAATAAAGCAACAAGGCTGAAACTTGGCGACCAATGCTGTATAAGCACAGTATTTATAGACCTTTAGTCAGTTGGAAACTGTTCACAGGATGGTTTAAAGTGGAAATATTGAAATGACATAACTCTGTACAAAACAGAGGAAAACAATACCATTCATAAATAGAGCTAATAAAGCAACAAGGCTGAAACTAAGAACCATTTATTTAATCCTGCCTTTCTTAAGAGCCAGTTTGGTGTCGTGGTTGGGAGCGTGGACTCTAATCTGGGAGAACCGGGTTTCATTCCCCACTGCTCCACGGGTAGTGAAGGGCGGGGTATAAATCCAATCTTCTCCTCTTAATACAGTTTCCGTCCACACACCGATCAGTTCCAAACATGTTCCCCAGAGAGCTCTGTGTTCAGGGTCCCAAAACTGCCTGGCCCTTCCAGGTCCCAAACATGCTAGGCTGGCTTCGGCCAGGGCCAGGGCCTTTTCACTTTCTGCACTGGTGGAATGAGCTCCCGGATGACACTAGGGCCCTGCGGGACCTTTTACAGTTCCGTGGGGACTGTAAGACGGGGCTCTTCCGCCAGGCTTTCGATTGGGGGGCCGCCTTTTAATAACATGGCCCTGGCCCCAATATTAGTAAAAAAGGTCGCTTCGTCGGCATGAACCGGACTGAGATGGCAGTCCCAACACCAATGCTGACCGTACTCCACATTATGATTGACTGCTACCAGTGCTCCATCGTTACATAAAATTACCTACTAGCACTTTATGACCGGTTTCATGTGTATATTTATATTTGCTTTGTTTTTATCTGTTCTAAATTGGTATGTAAGCCATCCTGAGCCTGCTTTGGGAGGGAGTAAGGTCAAAGTAAAGGTTTCCCTTGCTCGAAAGCCAATCGAATCCGACTCTAGGGTTGCGGTGCTCATCTTTGTTTCCAAGCCGAAGAGCCAGC